CAGGTATGGCAATTTTTCAATATGTTTTCTTTATTCGCTTCCTCCTCGGTTAGGATCTGACCGTGCCTGGTGTTTTAGACGTTTGGGATCTGAACCGTCCGGTTGGGATCTCACGCGTCCGGTTGGGATCTGAACCCATCGCCCGCTGGAGACCCGGGCTGCAGTCCGAAAACCATGGGACGAGGATCGGGAAGCGGGCCCCAAGGGGCAGCGTCAGGAAGGAGATGTTCAGGGGAGGGGGGAATGCATCGACCCCCAATCCAGGGGAACGAACAATGACATAACGTAAAAACTCGGAGGTCCGCGCGGATGTCTTGGATCGGCGCTGGACCCCCTCCCTGGCGCCCAGAGCGCGCCAGGGGCGGCGCCAGAGGCGCCGCCAGGGGGTTCCAGCGCCGATCTGAGAAATCCGCGCGGACCTCCGAGTTTCTATGTTCATAGTTCCCCTACAATGTTACAATCGCCCACTGATCGCCGATAGGGGCCTGATAGCCCACCCCGCCCAGGAGCATGCGGATTCGCCTCGATCTATCGGCGGTGTGTCGCGGATGTCAGGTCAACGAGTCCCTCTCCCTTCAGGCGGTCCTCCCCTCACGTTGCCCTCGAAGAAGGAGGAGGAGGAGGAGGAGGAGGCAGATGAGGTCGAGGAAGAGAGGTGAAGGGGGGGCGCGTCTGACGTTTCTCCGTGTTCTCCTCCTCCTCCTCCTCGTCATCATCATCATCAGCAGCAGCAGCATCATCATCTTCAACAGCAGCACCATCATCATCAGCAGCAGCATCATCATCATCAGCGTCAGCATCGTCATCAGCAGCAGCAGCAGCAGCATTATCATAACCATCATCCGCCTCTTACGAATTCTTCTCCATCCCTCATCCTTGAGAAGGCACTCCTCGACGTCGCACCGCCAGACCTGTAGACAGGGCGGACGGGGCGTCTCGCGAGAGGCCCTTTGGCTGCTTCCGGCGTTGATGTCTAAAGGTTCCCACGCTTACACGGATTGAGGGCGGCTGCTTTTCAGGATCTCAGCGCCGCGCATGCTCCTCTCAGGAAGTCTGCAGCAGCTGTACGGTTGCTGGGCGTGCACCTCTCGCCTTAACGCCATGCGCACTCGCCTCAAGAGGCGCTTCCCGCAGCTGCCTGCGCGGATGACGCACGCCCGCCCGCTGCTAGGCAATTGGACGCTCTTGTCACCGAAGTGATACAGCCAGCACACGTCGAGCTTCCTGTGCAGCTTCCGCCCGCATCTGGGGCACCGCCGAACCGTCGACCCCGCTCGCCCATGCCTTGCCGATCGGGGCCCCGGTGCCCCCACCAAGCCCGGGAGCGTGCGGCTCTGTCATCGGGGGCCTGTCGCCGATCCATCGGCGCTGCATCGCCGACCCCGGGTCCACGTTTCCCCTCCCTGCGCCAGGTCCCCCCCCCGCGTCGTTCCCCCTCCTGTCAACGGCGCGTCCGCCATGCCCTCCGCTACAGCAGGCCGCGCGCAGACGCCACCCGTGTCGCCCGAGGCCTCCGGAGGCCTCGGTGCGGGAGGGCTCGCTTCGCGCGGCGGACGAGGGCACGTCAGACCAGGAGCCACCACGACAGTGCACCAGATCGCTCCCAAGTTGATCAAGCACTTGCGAAACGAAGAAACAGCATGGATCAGTCAATAAGCGTCCCCTCACTGGAACCACAGAGGTGCCAAACTCTGCCCCCCTGGGCACCTCCTGGAGCCCCTTGGAGATATGTTTAGCGCCCTTGCGATTATATTCGATCGGTATTGCAAGACTTTGGGGCCATCGTGGGGTCCGCTTACATGCTTCGAAAGACAAGAATACGAAAATCTGGCAACAAACACGCGTGTCAGCCTCTCGGGGGCCTCCTTGAGGTGCTTCAGGGCCGCCTTTGAGCCACCTCGGGGCCTCATCGGGGCAGCTTGAAGCCATGCTGGAGGCAATCTTGGGCCACATTGATCAATCTTGGACACTCTTGGAGGCAACCTTGGGCCATCACGGAGCCAGCCTGGGCCGTCTTCGAAAGCGAGCGGGCAGCAAGGCGGAGCAGGATGGCGAAGGAGCTGCTCAGCGGTCGCCATGGCGACCTGCGGCATTGGGGTACAACCACTTGAGGACGGGGTAGGGGGAGGGGGACGTCGTGTTTTTCGCAACGTCGTCCCCCGGAGATCTGGACCCCTTCCCCGAGACCGAATTCTCATCCTGAGTCGCTTTTGGGCGGTCCCAGAGCTTGGGAAGGGCCCCAGAAGAGGCCGAGAATGGTCAGACATTTCTTGCCGCGAGTTTTTGTTACGACGAGGGGAAGGGGGGGAGAGAGGACTGGGTCGAAGGAAGGCAGAGGCTGCTCTGGAAGAGCTGGGGAGCGCACGCCTGGAGGGCTGATGAGACACTGCCTCGAGCCAGGACCGGGGCAGTCAATGGGGGGACCCTCGAGAGGTGGCGGGGGCGCTCGCGGCGGCGCGCCGGACGGCGCCACGCTTGGCGACGCCACGCCACTCTCTGGGTCTCCCGAATGGGGTCGAAGTAGATGGGGTATGATGGTCGCGCCGCATCGCCGATGCATCGCCGATGCGGCTCGATGTGGAGCCCGATTTTCTCCGCGCCGACGGCACCGATGCATCGCCGACGTCGTGATCCTCCGACCTATCTGCTCAGACCCTGTTCGGGAGGCCTCTACAGACGCTGGACCAGGTGGCGGCGAGGAGGACTATCCAGCTGCATGCGGCAGACCCCGCCACCTCGCCAGCGCAGCAGCGCAATGAGAAGGAGGTTCAGGTGGAGACGCACTCCAGTGCGGACAGGGCGCTAAGCCGGAGCGGGTCTCGAACACCCCCTCCTCGACCGCAGCCTCGTTCTCTTCGTCCTTCCTCATTCCTCCTCCTCCTCCTCCTCCTCCTTCTCCTCCTCCTCCCGTAGCCATTTTGGCTCAAGATGTATGTTCCCCCAGGGAGACAAACGGATACCGCTAGTCCGCGGCAGTGCCAGAGCGCTTGCGCTCGACGTCCCTCGTTTTCTGTGCTTCTCAACCCTCCCAGATGTCTGATGGCAGCCGCAGTGCCTCGCCTGCTCGCTCGATCTCGCGGAGCGACAACAGTGCCGTAGATGCAGACCGCCGCGGCCGCTTCCGCCCCAAAGCTGGGGAGTCGCTACGTTTGGGAAGATCTACGCGGACCAGCGGCTGGGATGTTCGTCCTGATGTTGAGCGTCGTCCGCCTGCTCCTGCCTCACATCGCGGGATTGACCTTGGCGCCCCTGCCCCCTGGTCGGCGGCGCCCGCTGGGGGCCAGTCCCTCTCCGACAACCAGCAAGCCAGCATCCTGCAGGCGGACGCCATCCTCCCCACCTTCCCAGATGAAGTTGAAGGTACCCCTCCCGATCCGTGGGCTCAAGCTACGGCTCGGTTTCCTCCTCGTGGTGATGGCCCTGCTCGTGCTGCACACCCTCCGCTTCCTGAACCACAGGTATACCACATCGACGGCGACGATGACGTGTGCGATTCTCCCGACTTCAACATCCACTACTATCGTGCCGACATCGAGGCCCGCTTCGCCTCCTTGCGTGGCAGCTTCGATGGCATGGTCAAAGTTGCGGTCACTTCGTCCTTCCGGGCCGCCAATGACCCGATCCTCAAGACCTTGGACTTGCTGCGCCAGCAGATTTCGGGGCATGTCCAGGTTGTCGACCAGAAAAGCATGTCCGCGATTCGCCCCCAGCTCGACCAGCTCGCCAGAAGATTCCAGACGCAGCAGGATGCGCTCACCAAGCGCGTCTCTGAGTCGGAGCATACCCTCGGTGAACATGAGAGGCAGCTCATCGCTATGCAAAAAGAAATTCTGGACATCCGCAACCAAGTGGAGCTCGACAAAGCTGCCACTGCGAAGACGTTCGTCTCCCCTGGCTTCGATCGTGAGACTGATCCGTCCCAAGTTACCGTCGTGGCTACGAAGTTGGTTGGGCTCCTGGGCGCGCGCGAAGAGATTGGCGCCTTCCTTGCTGAGCGCAACTTCCGCGAGGATGACAACGACATCCGCGCCCTCACCCCCCCTCCCCGCCAAGAAGTTTTCGATCACGTTGAAGGGTGCTGTTGGCGCGGCCCCCCGCAAAGTCCAGCGTGCCCTGGGATGTTTATGGGAGGATGGCCAGTGGAGGGAGTTTCGATGCGCCGCACAGGGAGCCGACCCAGCCCGTCTTCACCTCGGCCCTGACAAGAGTCCCAAGCAGGTCCGCATTGAGATACTCCTTCGCAAGATCCGCGGCGTCTTCGGCGGCGCCTTCCCCAAGGAGCGGCGGTTCGTCGACCGCGAGAGGGGCATCCTCAAGGCTGATTACACTGACGTCCTCAAGGTCGAGGCCCACCGTGGCGACGAGCCCCCCACGGTTCATTGGAACGACGTGGGCATCACGGCGCTTGGCCTGGAGCGTCGTCCTCTCGCCGAAGCCATCTCCTCTCCGTCCACACCCGTGGCCCAGACGCAGCGGTGTCTTCGACGACTTCGCGGGCCTCTTCTCGCTGCCTGCGTCCGCAGGCGGCGCGGTTTTGCATTGCACCACCTGGAATGCTAGGGCCCCACTGCAATGCGGTGGGGCCACGGGCCAGAAGAAGTTGGGTGACCTTAGACGCTGTGCGACTGGTAGCAGTATCGTGGGACTGCAAGAAGCGCGCGGCGACCGTTCTCAGTTAAGTGACTTCGTGCGCAAGGTCCACTCTGATGTGATTGCCCATTGCAGCTTTTGTGATCGCGGGGATCGAGGAGCTGGTGGAGTCGCCATCCCTCTGCCGCCTCTTGCCTCGGATAGAGCTGCCAGCTCGGCGCTGGAGCTGATCCCTGGGCGTGCACTGCGCGTGGGCGCAGTGCTCGGCGAGGTGCAGATGGTGATTTTCAACATTGTTCACTACGGCTTGCCCAGGACGGAGGCCACCACAGTCCGTGAGCAGATCAGGGGCGCCACCCGCCAGGCCCGCCTCGCCCCCATCTCTTTCTTCGTCGCTGTCCTCGGCGACTTCAACTTCAGCGTCGACGCGGCCCTGATTTTCCACCGGCCCGAACCCTCCAAGGTCCAAGCCGCCCACGATCACAAAGTGCTCATGGGGCCAGAGGAGGAGACTGATGAGGTCTGTCGGACCCCCCACTCACTACGGACGTGGACTCCGCGCTCTCGCGATCTTTCTCTGCTGCTGCGGGGCTGGGGGGGGCGCCAGCTGACGGTACGGCGACGATTCGTCCCCAGGATCTGAGAAGGGCTGTCTCTGCCTGCGGCGCGGCGGCTGCCCGCGCGCGCGCCGCGGGCGGGCGGCCCCCCGAGGGGAGGAACATGAGGAGCGACGAGCCTTTCCATGGAGGCGACAGCGGAGATTCCCCCCCCCCCCCCTGTTTCGCGAGCACTATATACTTGTTTGGAGGCTGGAGGGACCCGCGAGTTCTCTTCCCCGGCTCAGGCGAGGCGGACCCCAGCCCCCCCCGCGCCCGCAGCCTCGAGGCGGCTGATGTGTTGTTGCGGCTCATCCTCACCTCACGCGGCAGAAACACTACTGGTCGGTCGGTCCGCGGCACACATGCCACCTTTACCTAACTAAGGAGTACAAGCTGCCCTGGAGAAAGAGATGAGCGCTGCCGCCCCCCCTCTCGCTGCCCCGAGAAAGCCCTCTTTCTCTTACGTGCGGGAAAGAATGAAATGGGCCCCCTTCGAAGCCTGGCTCGCGTCTTCTGAGACCCGCAGGCTCCCCGCCCCGCGCCACACTGTGTGACTGTGGGAAACTTCTGGTTCTGCCCCCTGCCCGGGTCGGCCACACGTTCGCTTCGAATCAGCGCGGGATCCAGGTCTGTCCCGCTGGCACCGCACCTTCCAAGAAGAAGCAAGAGCTCAGCACTGGTGTGGAGGTGGGACACGCTGCACGGGCTGCGGCATCGGCTCCCTTTCAAACTCTTATCCAGCTGAGTCAGGGGAGGGGGATTCCCGCCCAGCTACCCCCACCAGCCCCCCCCCCCCCCCCCCCCCCCCCCCCCGAGCCCCCGCCCGGGGCCCTGGGAGGTCTCCTGATCGGGCGGGGGGGCACGGCAATACCATGAAGATTCTCGCTTGAGCCACCTGAACCAGTCACTTTGCGGCCCCGGCCGCGCGATCGCGGGTGTCTGGGAGGTGGTATATAATATTCTCGCTCGGCCCCCCAGTCTGTCCTCCCCCCCCCCCCCCCCCCCCCCCCCCCAGTCTGTCCTCGCGCAGCCCCTGGGCGCCCGGGGGCTCTGCGAGGCGCTCCTCTCCTTCATCGGGTTCCTGTGCGAGGCCGCCCAAGGGGTCATCGCTGACGGGGGCACTCTTGTGGAAGTTGTCTGGCTGAGATCTGGGATCATACAAGGACGTGGCCAGTCGGGATCCCTGCGTGCTCTGGCCTCTGCCCCGACGGCGCGGTCGCGCGTGTGCCGACGATTTAGGAGTGGTCTTGTTCGAGCTTGCCTGTATTAAGATCGTCTTTGATGTTCTCCAGATCATGAAGCTGATCGCGGGGTTCTCCATTAAGATTAGTAAGTGCACTGCGGTTCCCCTCGCGGGCTCGATCTCCGAGGCTCTCCGAGGCGAAGTTCGGGATCTCCTGGGCAGCTTTGTTCCTGAATGGGTCGATTTCGCCATTGAAGGATGCATGCTGCATCTTGGCATCTGGCTCGGACCTAGCGCCACTGTCGAGCGGTGCTGGCGTGACCCACTCGCCAAAGTTCGCACAAGAAGTCGGATGATCAGCCGCACCGGCGCGGCAAGCGGCGTCAACTCCACACTGCACCGTACCCGAGTTCACTCTGTCCTTTCCTATGTCTCCCAGTTTGTTCCGACGCCGCCCTCTTTCCTCGCGTTCGAGAGAGGCGTCATCTCGCAGGTCCTGAGATGCCCGCCTGGCAGGCATGATCAGTAATGAAGCTGTACCCGAACTTCAGTGTTGGGGGACCGCGGCTGCCCTCGTGGTCCGCTCATGCTGCTGCTGCACTACTCAGAGCCGCTGCCATCACCTTCCGCGGCCCCCCGACCTACCTCGACCTGATGAAGGCCAAGGCGATCCGCTGGCGACAGGAAATTGCCGGTGGACATTTCGATGACGCTCCTTTCTCGGCCACTGCGCGGCCGCGCATGTACCCCAGGTTCTGGAAGGCACCTGCGTTCGTGGAGAACGTCGACGGCGTGCTCTATCTCTCCTCCGACGGCTGGACGGTTGCCGCTCGCTCTTCCCCCGTAGATGAGCTGTCCTGCACTAACCGACGTCCTCGACCACAGCGCGCAGTTGCCGCAACTCTCTCGGGCCTTCCCGCAGAGGAGCGGGCGCTGAGCTATATGGACTGCCTTAAGCGACCTCCTCTTAGGTTATCCCTATGGATTGAAAGTTCTCGCTCAAGGCCCATACATTATACCTGCTGCTCCTGCTAGCCCCAGAGGTTTGGCGCATTACTCCACGCCCCCCTCAGTGTTCCCCCCGCTCCATCCTCAATCCTCCTCGTCCTCCGCCTCCAACTCCTCTCC